CCCCCCCCCCCCAATCAAATGCGCCACCAATTTATCCGAGCCAACCCCCATAAAATGAGCCGCCCATTTACCTGAGCCACCATTCAATAAAATGACCCACCAATTTACCTGAGCCACCGTTCTATCGGTCTTGTCATCATTGACCAGTTCCACGACACAAAGCACTGAATCTGGTTCCCCAGGATAATTGACATGTTCCTCCACGTTGGTCTCTACTTCAACCTCTACGGGAAGAAATGAACCATGTATTATTTATATATCTATAATCCAACAGAGTTTAACAGCCTGTGAAATCCTTGACTCAAGATCCTTAAGGAGATGTACGGTATACGATTTAAAAAAACAAAGAAAAAACCTTCATACTATTTGAACAACAGCATATTTTCAGTTTAATAACGCCATTCACTTTGTTAACAAAAACATCTTCAACTTACCAAAGTTGCCTCCAGAAAACCCTGTAGCCATCTGGAAATAATAAATGAATAAATAATCAACCCAACAATTACAGTAATTACAGTAACCATCCAAATGTTATAACACTTTGAAGGGGGCTTAGGAAACTATGTGTAATCGTACTTGAATATATTATATTTTACCTTAATGTACGATTAAATAAAAAGCAAATGGAATGAAATTAAAAAAATGGGGTGCCCAAGTTTGACGCAGACAGATTCTATATTAATAAAACAATCATAAAAAAAATGGGGTGCACAAGTTTGACTTAGACAGATTCTATATTAATAAAACAATCATAAAAAAATGGGGTGCCCAAGTTTGACGCAGACAGATTCTATATTAATAAAACAATCATAAAAAAATGGGGTGCACAAGTTTGACTTAGACAGATTCTATATTAATAAAACAATCATAAAAAAATGGGGTGCCCAAGTTTGACGCAGACAGATTCTATATTAATAAAACAATCATAAAAAAAATGGGGTGCACAAGTTTGACGTAGACAGATTCTATATTAATAAAACAATCATAAAAAAATTGGGTGCCCAAGTTTGACGCAGACAGATTCTATATTAATAAAACAATCATAAAAAAAATGGGGTGCACAAGTTTGACGCAGACAGATTCTATATTAATAAAACAATCATAAAAAAATGGGGTGCACAAGTTTGACGCAGACAGATTCTATATTAATAAAACAATCATAAAAAAATGGGGTGCCCAAGTTTGACTTAGACAGATTCTATATTAATAAAACAATCATAAAAAAAATGGGGTGCACAAGTTTGACGCAGACAGATTCTATATTAATAAAACAATCATAAAAAAATGAATCCAAGCATAAATATATTATGTGTTTAAAAAATTGATTTGGAAGTATTGTCTCCAACGAGCTTGATTTTAAGCGCATCTCTGTCTCGGAAGCTAAAATATTTTTAATCTCTTTCGTTTTGATTTTTGGCACATTCTTACGCCATCATGGAAACAAGAGTTTAAGATTACTACTTTAACAAATATTTTCCACAAAACAGTTTATAATTGTAAAGAAAAGAACTAATTAAAGAGTTTGAAAACAAGACTTGAGACGTAACATTAAGTTTTGTCTTCTTTTAATTGTGTATAGAAAAATAATTTATCGCATTATGGAAACCGATCAACTTCAACAACATGTCCGTTTCCATTTCAAGTAGCCTACTTGTCAAGATGACGATTTGAGTAGCCTATTTCCTGATCAGGTATTCGGTGTCAATCTCCTTGCATAGTAATGGCAGTCTATAGTTAATAGTAGCAGTAGTCTAGAGTTAATAGTAGTATTAGTCTACTAGCTAATGCTATACATTGGCATCCAGCGCGGTGATCTCATGGTGTCACCCTATCCAGACTTTCCCATGAACTTCTCCCGAGTCTGCCTACTCTGGGTGAGAATCCTGCTATGTTGACACCCCTGCTAGTGGCGACACGATCTGTAGGCACCCTACCTACTCTTATGTTTAACTGATCGGTAGAGACTCGATTGGATACAGTTCAATTTGCAATTTTCCATTTGGTGTTGACCCCTGGGAGGGTGTCATCCGATGCGTCCCTCAACCCCACCCTAACACCCCCCAAGTGACGCTACAGACTATACTCTTTCAAATAGGCTTACTTATGCAGTATTTTTCAGTATAACAGTAATAACAGTAATTAATCAATCAGTCAAGTGAGTCTTCTATTTTTATATATAATTTGTATTCAACTTAAACCCAAAGGCGTTTAACATTACTAAAGTTAAATGTTACTTAAATAAAGTAAATTTATTTATATATCTGTGATTCAGTGTTATCAGCGCCAGAATTTTTTAAAATTTTAATACCTTGTTTCTATTATTACAAATCGCAATTTACTTACACTTTGGACTTGGAGGAAAATGAAGAAATCTCAGAATTTATAAATTTAAATTTGAGTGATTTAGATTTGTTTATAGGTTATAATTTATCAAACGATAACATAGAAGAAAACAAAAATTATCAAAATCA